GAACGCCGGTTTATTGGGAACACCGCCTCAGGTTTGAGCCCAAGCCGCTCCAGCTCGGATTTAACCACAGCCGCCTCGAACGACGGTAATCCACGCAATACCAGCTTCAGTGGCTTGCTCGATGGCAGATCGTGCGTGAAGAAGTCAACGTTGTTTTCCTTTAGGAAACATCCTGTTTGATTGTACTCCTCCAGGCTGGAGCACATGATTTTGGTGCCGATGCTGCAAAGCTTGAAGCGAGGCAGCAGCTTGTGTTTTGCCAGTTCGGCACGCAGCTTGGCAACATCCTTCTCCGGCGTGAAAAGCGGGGGAATCCGCTCTCTTGCAGCGATGGGAACGACGTCACCATCGCCATTTTCTTCGGGGAGCACCGCAAACTGGTTGGCTTGCAGTACCCGGTTTCCGGCGTCATCCTGCGACGCGCTGTGCTGGATTACCACCTTCTTTGAAGGGCCCACTGCTAAATCATTGGTACGTTTACGCACCATTTGTTTCGTGTTGGCAAGTTGCAGTAAACTTGCCAGAACGCGCGAAGGTGGCGACGCTTCCACGGCGCAACGCGACAGCACAAACCGAATCGAAGCGAGAACTCGAGCGAAAAAGAAAACGAACTGAACAGCTCAACAGTCGAGCAAAGAGTCACAGCTAATGCTATATAGCAGCGCTCTTTTATATCTTTTCATGTTAAAGCAGAATGATGTGCAACCAAGTGGTATAAAAGCTACAAAGACTCCTCCCATTATGAGTAGTTTGCTATCAAGTAGCGACACTGACTCTTTTCCTTTTGCGTACACGGCACATGAGAACGACCCAAATTTGAGTTTAGTTCACTCAAAATCGCCAAAAGTGCAGGAACTCAGCGATGAGTACATTTGTCTCATGGTTTCCTTTGGAAAACCTAAAAAATCTGCCAGAAAATGGGGAAATTGACGAAAATTTTATTCAGTCTTGGAGTAGTACCAATAGACTGAGTGAATCCAATCTTTACTTTTCTGAAATTCGGGAATTTTTCCCTGGAAAATCCGGAAAAAAACCTGGGAAAACATGAGGCAAATTTACTCATCGCTGAGTTCCTGCACTTTATTTTTTATTTCTGTGATACCTAAACTCAAATTTGGGTCAATCTGATATCACATTGAAAGATATCGGCGCCGGTGGTTAGCGTGATTACCTCTCACCCCAGCAGGCCTGGGTCCAATCTCAGTCGGTGCCACCGGCATGTTCTAAGGCAAAACATCTCTGATCACGCCTTCCTTCGGGAAGTAAAGCCGTTGGTCCCCGGTTGAGTTAATGGGTTGATTGGTAGGGTCCAGGTGTGGGAGCTGCCTCCCTGGCGTCGGTAGCATTGGTGCTCAGCACGGAAAACAAATCTTGCGTCACTTTTCAATAAGTTCTATCTACATTGATCGATTCTCTTCATCGACTCTCACTCTTTCGTTAATAATTTGGCTTCAAAAATGTTTCCTGCCGTCTTCGTCGAATTAGAAGCTTGATTGTTGCTTCTTCCATCGAAAATATCCGGCCGTGGCGATTCAAAGTTGATCAAGGTTGATCAAAATAATTTGTACCCCTGCTTCCAGTTTGATTACATGAGCATTTTGTGTGATCGTTGGTTCTGAATATGGACAAACAGGCAGATGAATTCTATTCCTACTCTTTACTGTAATAAGCTTGGTGGCCCTGAAAAGAGCCGTTTTGTTGCCAAAGTTGGTGATGATTTAACCTCCGAAACCAAACAGAGTGCATCTCTGTGCGTCTTAAAAACGTAGATGACATCCATGGCAGCTTACGCTTGGCGTGTTTAGTGTAGGTGACAGCATTACGGATCCCATTTTTCAGGAACACCTTCAGCACTCTCGTAAATCAGACCGGAGATACGTCAGACACCGCCACGGCGAGTCAGACGACGGATGGTGGTTATTTCGAAGAATTTGCGTTTGGTTCTGAATATGGCGGTGAGTGTGCAAAATATTACGCAATTCCATCCTCCCTATTCGCACGCGCCCGAGGATCGGAGGCGAATGCCACTTCGACTTGTTTCGTCTACTTACTACTCTATGACGACTGTGTTGGGGAAGCAGCATATGCATTTAGGTAATTGGTGGATTTGTTAGTTAATTCGACGCTTTTGGACAATGCTGGACATTTACCAGTGTTTCAATAGTTACTTGTTGAAAATCAACATTCGAAAGCATTGTTATCGATGCGTAGCCATATCTCTGATCGACTGGTGATAAAATTATTGAAATTGAACCAGGGGCCGGTGAGTTATTAACGTTCAAAATCTTTCTAAATTTGTTACATGTTCCATTTTCGGTTTTCACAAAGTGTACCCCCATATAGAAATCAAAGACGTAGTCCTACGTCAAAAATTAAAAACGTGTTCTATCATTATAAAAGCAGTCATTGAACCATTGGGTTTTGCATTAGAGCAAAAAGCATTTATTGCTGCTTTTTAGGCTTTTTAAAGTGCATCATAAACTCACTAATTACTCTGTTTACAAATTGAGCTTAAAGGATGGTTCCTCATAATTAATAAAAGTCAAATTTATGACAAGGAAATCTCGAAGGATAGACGAAATAGGATGGCAAATTCAAGTCGATTTCAGCAAAATTTACTTCTTCAGAAGAACCAGCACACCATCAACGACTGACCATCTGGCGGAGAAGAGTAAAGCGAGCGTGGCCCTCAAATTCATAAAACATTGTCGAAAGTTTAAAAACATACCAGCCTTCTCCAGATCGTTCGAATAGATGGCAATCAAAATAACAACCGACAGCAAACCACTGAAACTGTTAGTTAGCGGAGATTAGCGGGTTTCCGATCCAGCGATTTTATTCGGCAAAAGAATCAACTCCTTGAAAATTTCATTCAAGCGTATATCCCTGCATCGTTGGATGGTGCACTTCTGTAACCATACGGAAGAAGGGGATCTTTTTCGGGAACGATTACTATCGAAAGATAAACAAAGTTTGACGTTTAACTTTTTGCAGGCAACTTTGCCTTCATAAAAGCTGCCATAAATTTGAATGGGTTAGGATCAAGCAAAATGTCTTTGGATAAATACAGTTCAGCCTGCAAGTTTTCTTCATAAAAGCCATTTCAAAACCTTATGAATTTGTTAAGGATTTCTTGAAAGCAAAACAACTTTTTCCCAAATGACCCATGAAAATCACCTTTTTTGCCACCGCCATGTTACAATTAGTTTGTTTGTTTTTTTTTAAAATCTTCGATTTTTAATCTATATTTCCTTGTTTATGAGAAAGTTTGAACATACTGAGAGGTAAGCACATATCATCGGTAAGAGACGTGTGTGTGAGAAAATTTGCGAAAACACACGTCTCTTACCGATGATATGTGCTTACCTCTCAGTATGTTCAAACTTTCTCATAAACAATTAAATTGACTGCAAAGTCGCTAAACCGTAAATCAAAAATATATTTCCTTGGATATAACTATATTTTGGTAAATTTAGCAATGAGCTTTAAATTTAAAAAAAAATCATTAAAAAAATCTCGGCCAAGCTCGATCTGAAGATTTCTTTTTTCAATGTAAAATAATTAGTCAAATCTACGTTTTTACGAGGGCGGACTTATTTTATTCAATGTTTGCACGTACATTTCACATAACATTTAATAAGGCACTTAAAACTAGGCCACTTAATTAGAACTATTGCAATAAATTTGAATATTCAACAAGATTTTTATACCATCAGTTTCTAGTTTAATTATTTTGATAAGCTCGGATTCATAAATCCTTTTCTATCTTGATTGATGCTTTCCTAGTGGATTTAGCATGCGGCTAGGGGAAATGGCTCGGAAAGGGTTTTTCTTGTTGCCAAATAGCTTTTGTTGTAGCTTTCAAATGGTTCTCAATGCGTTCGTCATACAACCTTTTGCAGCAAATCAATCTTGAAGAGCTTCGAGAATACACCCTTCAGAACCTTCTCCTGGGTGGGCCAACTAGACATATTATAGTCTTAAGGAGGTTTTGGTGGATTCATTAATGACAAAATAGCCTTGACCAGGGTTTTATGAATGTTGCTTTATAGTTGCTTTGTAGTATTTCATAAAACTTAAAATGTAACTTGGGTAGGTTCCAGAAAAAAACAAATTTGGTATCTACGATTCTTAAATGTTTAGCCGTGGACGAAGATTTACAGGTTTTGTAATAGAAACAAAATTATAAAATGCGCAGAAATTTGTATGAGGTCTAGCTTTAGACGCCAGCTTTAGCTGATGGTTGAAAGATTTAGCTGATCATATCGACATTCAAAGACCAGGTCTGCAAGCTTTGCTGAATAGGCATCGAATGATTCTATGATATGTACATTTGATTGACTGATTCTTTTGATCAAATAATCAGCATTCACTTGACGTGTTAGCCAACAAAACAGCAGTGACGATGGCAGAATCCATTTGGCACTTGAAAAGTCTCAAACTGTCCGAGGAGTGATTACTTAATCCAGGTGAGCTGACCAACATTCACTGTAATCTAGGAGATTTCCAATTTTGAGTATTTGATAGACCAGAGGTTTGTAGATCGTGCATGGCGGAGCTAATAGTAAAACTTCGCGAAGCTTTACTCGAATACACGGATGTTGATTGAAGTGATATGAATAGATTTCTACCAATATTGGAGATGTTAGATTACTAAAATTTACTACTTGAAAGTTATGCTGAAATATAAGATTTTAGTTATATCTCTGAATCCAAAAAGCGGATTAATCTGCGATTTATTTACTTAGTATAATTGAGTTCATTTTGATTTCATCTAATATCTGAACTCAACCCAATAGGGCCTTATTCCAAAATGATTGAAAACCCCTGCGATAGACTGTTTACGTTAGTCAGTGACTGATAATGCACTGTCCAGTGCTGTCTTTGGTAAGATTACAACCCTGATAGACTATCTATCTCTCCCCCTCAAATAGTCTACGGCTAACTTATCATCGTTCATATGGCCAATTTGGAGGAATAAATTTATATTGTATGGAATTTTTCAAACTCAGTATTGGAAAGGATTTCGCCATGAAAGCACTGTGGTTTATACTGGCGGTCACTCTGGCCCTGGCATCAGGTGAACGCATTCGCTTCGAAAACTATAGAGTCTACGATGTGTCCATTGGAAACGTAGACCAACTGGAAGTTTTGCAACATTTGGAGCAATTCCCTGATGGAGTATATTGCAGATGAATATTTTGTTCAGAAATACAAATCTAATATGAATGCAATTTCAGTACACCTTCTGGGAATCTCCGGTGCAAACGGGTATGAAGGTGAGTGTAATGGTGCCACCGCACAAGGTGGATGATTTCGAAGGCCTATGCTCACGGATGTTGATGGAAACTTCACTGAAAATAAGCAATGTTCAACAGTGAGTACCATCAAACAGCTAACAAGTAGATCGAATTGAAAAATTTCTCCACAGATTAATCGATACAGAGCGACCAGCACGGCGAAAGCGTGCCGGTTTTGGCTGGGAAGATTATCACACGTTGGACGAAATGTACGAATGGATCGATGGTCTGGTTGAACAGTACGGCAATGTTCTATCGGTAGAACTAGTTGGACACTCGTACGAAGACCGCGAGGTGAGGGCTGTGAAACTGTCCCATAAAACGGGAAATCCTGGAATATTCCTAGAATCAAACATTCACGCTCGTGAGTGGATTACTTCGGCAACGGCAACGTGGATTTTGAATGAGCTGCTGACATCGACGGATTCAGCGGTACAACAAATCGCTCGGAACTACGATTGGTACATTCTACCCGTGGTCAATCCTGATGGACTGAATTACACAAAGGAGACGAACCGAATGTGGAGAAAGACCCGCTACCCGCACAGTGTGTTGTGTTACGGAGTTGATATGAACCGTAACTTCCCGCATCATTGGATGGGTAAGTTTGGAGACAACTTAGATCTCTACGTTCATCGATTCAACTCGCACATACGTTTTGTTAGATGGTGGATCATCTATTAACCCTTGTACGGAGACATACGCCGGACCTGAACCAGCTTCCGAGATAGAAACGAAGAACATCATGGATTACTTCATCAAGTACAAGGACCAAATCCATTTCTATCTTTCGTTCCACTCCTACAGTCAGCTTATCTTGCTACCGTTCGGTTATCAGAATGCCAACAAGGTAGACCGTTTCAATGACTGGATGCAGATGGCTGAATCCGCTGCTGAGGCGTTGTCGATGCGCTATGGCACGGAGTATGTCGTTGGCAACACGGCAGATGTTCTGTGTATGTATTGAGATGACCTTCCTCTTCTGATTTAGTTCGTGATGCATTTTTTTGAGCAGATGTTGCATCCGGTTCAACGCGAGACTGGGCACTGGGGGAGCACGATGTACCGATTGCTGCATCGTACGAATTCCGGGACAAAGGCAACTATGGATTTATTCTTCCTGCTGACCAGATCGTTCCAAACTCCGAGGAAGTACTGGACTCATTGGTAGCATTTTTGACCAAAGCACGAGAACTGAACTATTTCCAAGTTTAAAAATAAAACCAATATCTACTTCAGTTTGATATTTAGATTTTTTTTATTAATTTATTATACAACGAGATTCTGTTATCAACTCATATTAGACATAGCACTGACCGTAGTACTGTACCTTATCGCTCTTGATGGTTTCAACGATTACCTGGTGTCCATCGTAAACAACGTACAACGACACGTTCGGAACCACAAATACGACCGTGTTGTCAACCTGGAAGTACTTGAATGGATACACTCCGGGGACAATTCCGTGTTTCATGACCTCCATGATGTCGCTGTCAACGGTGAAAGTGTACTTCATGACTCCGGTTTTCTCAAACTTCTTGTCAATCACAGGTTGGACCACAACGACGTGACCGTTCAGAACGAATTTCAGGGCCTGGAAATCAGTAAACGTTTTAAAATTGCCATTGACATTTCAAACTTATACACTTACAACAGAGCTCTTCTCCGATTTCTGTACGTAGACAGCCCAACTGTAGGTCGTGGGATGATCGGCAGCATACAGAGTCCATTCGTTGATGATCGGCATCTTGCTGACATCGTAGTGATAGCCAGTGTAGTTGAACATAGGGTTGATGACGCATTCGGTGGTGTATCCGGTGGTTTTCATGATGTCAAAGTACCTAGATCAAAAAAATAGAGTTGATCAATGGAAAATTTCCGGTGAAGTCTTGCTAAGCCATACTTGGTGAAAATGACACTGTCCGGTTGGAACATCCAGAACCACTCGTAGTACGGGACATATTCAAATACGAAGCTTTCCGCTGGTGTAGTGACGGTTACATCGACCGTGGGGTGCTCAACCCACCACAATGGGTATTCTACGTCGACAACAAAGCCACCATCTGGAACATGGTGATGGGCATCAACATCGTAATACACAGGGAACACCTGCTGCACCCAGAACCAGACTGGTTTGAATACGTCCAGGTAAACTGGCAGCACATGCTGGTAGTCTACGTTGTACACGTACTTCCGAACAGTGGTATGTGCTTCAGCGCACTCATAGGTCATTGGAATTGGCTCGATTTGAACAGTTGGTGTTTTTAACACTCCGTAATGTTTTACGCATTCTTTGTACGAGTAAACTGGGCTTTTAGTGAAGTTCTTCTGCGATTCCGAGTAGGTTCCCGTCCAGTCAACCGAGACCACCATGTCGTCCTTGATGCATTTGTGATCGTACGAATAACCATGGTAGTAGGTCATCTTACCCTTAACTAGTTCAGTTTCAACATCCTTAACGTAATCAAAGCAGACGTTCATATTTTTCTCTCCAGGAGTCTTACGAGTAACTTGCACATTGAACTTCTTGAAGTACAGTCCATACTCATGCGTAAAGTGAACATTCATATCCCAGTGGTTAACTTCGACATCGTGATCATCCTTGAACACAGCTGACATTTTCACATACTGATGGTAGTTTGGAGTAGTCCAGAATTCATGTGGAACGTCTTCGGTGTTGACCTTAAAGGACAACTCCAACTTATTGAAAGGATACACTTTGCATGGATTTATGTAGCCAACAACTCCGTAGGTCGAGTATTGCGGTGGGAAGAAGTGGGTGTAGAACCAGGTATAGTAGGTCATCATGAACTTGAAGAATGACATTTCGGGAATTTCGTAGAACACATCACTCACGAACACATCCGAAAGGGATTTGAAGTGCTTGACGTGAGGCAGTACCTCAACGTCATAAACGGACAGGTAGAAGTGAAGTCCGGTGTACTTAGAGTGGATTTCATGCAGGACAACATCCTTCTTCTTGTAAATCGGAGCAACGACCGTTGTCAGGAAGTGTTTGCACTCTGGGCAGGTACCCTTCATGAAATCCACTTCAGTGTCTGACTTGGCGTAGACCTGGGTCTTGACGTGAGTCTTGAATCCGACAACATTTTGAACTTCGTTGGTGCTCTTGGTCCAGATGATCTTGAATGAGTTCTGCTGGAAGTTGAAGACTACGTCGAAGTTGAATGGCACACTGAAATCAAATGCATGCACTCGACGAGTTCCCTGCCAAGTCAAGGCAAATGGATTATAGACTGAGATTCCGTAGAAACCGTGCATCCAAATGCGGAAGTAGCTGTGAACCGAGAAAGTCATTTCGTTAGCACTCTTGGTGGTTGGTACCACGACATCGTATTTGAACTGCGACACCAGAGGCAATTCAACATCTGATTTAGTTTGAATTCCGTCCATAGTTGGTGAGAACACTTCCACGTCGGCAAGGTTCAGTACGGTAGTGAATTGGTATTTCATCGTCGTAAGGATGCTCAGGTAGGTGTAGCTGTAGAAATGTTTGATTGTTTCTTCGTCGAAGAATTTAGTGTAGACAACCTTTCCATTGGCCATCAAAGTGAACTCTACATGCACTGGTTCCTTTTCGTGGTTCTTGATAATTGGTTCCTTTACCGTTTTGGGTTCGATGTTGTACAGTTTGGGCAACAGCATGGTTAGGGGGTTCTGAACTCCTTCAAATTTGACAAACACGGAGTAGAGATCAACGTGGCGATCCATCACGTAAGGGCTGAAGTTGATGAAGAACTGGTTGACCTTGTTATGCTTATCATCAGCCACCAGGTTGCCATAGATCGAAGCACCGAAGAAATGCTTCTTGTCAACGTAATCGTAGTAGAAAGCTTTAGTTTCAACGGACGGATCGACATGTTTGAAGATCTTGACCATCTGCTTAACGTATTGCCGGAAGTCAGTATCAGTGTGGACGCAAGATTCTGCCATGTGCTCCACAGTGGTAACAAAGAATGAGTAGACTTGAGGATTCTTTTCCGTTCGCATTACGGTTGCAATCTTGGCAAAGTATTTGACCTCTTCTGTAGACAGCAGAACCTTCAGAGCAGCGACTCGAAGTTCGGTGAATAGGGTTTCATCAACGAATACGGGGTAGACTACCTCGAAAAGCAAATCGTAGTCGTAGTGGAGAATCTTTTCCAGTGCGTAGATAGCATGAAGTCTAAGGTGACGGTCATATGGCAGATCCAGAACTTGTTCGCCCTTAACAATGGGGGCAATCAGTTCGAAAATCGTTCCTACTTCAATGTTCTTCAGGCCATGGAGCCACACCAGCTGTTCTTCGAAGGTCTTAGCTTCCTTTAACTTCTTATAGAATACTTTGACGTATTGTTGTAAAATGGATGAATGTGTATCGTGCTTGAAGGTCTTGTAGACGAGGGAACCGAATGTGAGGACGGCGGCATGAGCGACCTCAGGTTTCACTTCATCTTCAAAGTGATAGAACTCTTCGACCTCCTGCAGCAGTTCAACGGTAGGGACCCGTACGTTCAATCCCAGCGAGAAGAGCATAGTAGTGGAGACAAAGTCCTTAACTTTGTGGCTTTTTACAAGATTCTTGATGAAGATCACCGAGTTCTTGGTGCCAACGAGGGGCAAGATTTTGTAGAATACATCGACGGCAACAACATCCTTCGGGGTGGTGGTCTTGGTGATCATGGTGTAGAATTGTTCAAAGTTTTCCACGGTAAATGGCTTGAAGAGTTCAACGATGCGGGTGATTGTCAAACCGTGCTTTGTGTCGGTTTCGACGTTCGTGATAGGGTTTTCCTGAAAAAGAAGAATTTGTTGGGATGTATGATGAGGACACAGCATCTTAGGCAGGTCTTACGTGTAGATATTCGACGGCTTCGAAAAGCATGGCTTGCGCCTTTGGGCCAACTACGGTCATGTCGATTACGTGAGGTACTATCGATAAGCACGGGAAGTAGGTTTCGAAGGTTTGCTTGGACGGAACGTAATAGAGTGGATTGTAAGTCTGTGGAAACGAGTAAATTATTATCGGAAGAAGTTCAAAGGATGCGTATTTTGACTTACCACGAATTTGGAAAACTCCAAAGGCGTTGAAGGTACAACGGTTTTAATTAACAAAAAACTCTGTTTTGTGGCGACATATTGCATCTGTCCATCGGAAACGGACGGCTGGACGGTTTTAATGCTGTCAGTATGTACTTCCTTCGCCTTGACTCCATCTTTGTCGTTAACTATCACGTACTTGACTTCCGGATAAGTCGCATTCCAGACAGCGTAGTGTTTGTACACTTTCTCGACCTCTACATTGCTGTAGACATCATACGGCATGTGTTCGAAGGTGGTGTAATCGGGAGTCTTGGTAACCACAATTTCATCATGAACCATCTCAACATCGTAAGTCACATTCACCGTTCCGTAGACACTTTCTTCAACGACAGAAAATACAACGGGCTTGACGAATTTTTTTACCGGTATCTTGTCAACAGGAAGTTGCAGGGCGGACGCGATTCCCTTTTTGATATTTATACTCCATTGGGTATCTTCTGGAACGGTAAATACCTCGTGAACCATTCCGTACTTATCGTACGTAACATAGAACGGTAGCTTGATTAGTTCCGCTTGCTTTGCAATAGGCACGTAGATTTGTTCGACTGGTTCCATGCCATGAACTAACCCCTTCATGACCAGCGGTCCAGTGTAAACGTACACCATCGGGTCAACAAGGTACACAAAAGTGCCATTTCCAGATGAATCTGTTAATACAAAAATCATAACTCACTACGTTCAGAGTATGGCCCAGTTTGTAGGAAATTTACCTGGTCGAATATGAACATCAGCCATGACTTCGTACATGGAGCCTTTTTCAGTTTCCAGCACACCGGTCCTCACATTGAGCAGATAGCGATAGACATACTCTTCGGTACCGGCTCCATAGAAGAAGTTTTTCACCGGTACGGAATGCACTATGGCCACAAGGGCCAGAACTAAATTGAGAGAATAAGTAATATTGAAATATTTCATCCGGCTCACTGTATCCAAGACCACTTACGAGCTATCCACAGCTTCATTACACTAAAACTACACTACGCCTAGATCCGATGTCCTTATTAATTCGGTGCGAACTGATCACCTGTTCACCAGCGACTGTTTAAATCGATCAGTCGGGATGCTTCTTTTAAAGAGACTCCTTATCGCGGAAAGGTACCGAAATCGAATTCTGTTGCAGAATTCGACGTTTGTCCATAGGTCATCTTATTTGATTACAACGGATGTAAGGTTGAAATTTCGTGATTCAAGCAAAACACTGCAATCAAGAGTGGAGAAAGTTGGTTGAACCGGCTGAAATGGTTCCCGATCGATGCAGCATTTTCGTCGAGAATTTATGTTGTAGAGTATCGTTAGATGCCATAAAATACCATACAGTAAATACAATAGAGTAAATAATAGTTTAAATATACATGGAAAAAATTTCGAATAGGTTCGTTGAGTGTGCGAATAAATCAATATTCATTTGTTCATGAGCGTACATTATAATGCATAACAGTAGCTTATTCAATTCGACGTGATTGGCTTATCGCTGACCGTCATTTTAAATACTGATGCCACGAAATGCTGTACTCGGATTCAATGGGATGATGACAGTTGAAATGATGAAACACACTGTTGATAGCAGGCAACAGGTAGTTCATTACGGTACGTACAATGTAAGACAGGAAAGTTAACAACGAAACAAGGTACACTGGTAAAAATAGTATGGTACCACGTACAATTCATACGTGTTTAAATCTACCTTGACAGCTCGTAAATAGTAAAAGGTACAAGAGCTGCGGAATCTTTTCATACACTGAAAACAAGACTACCATGGTCCGTATTATTTCGTAGGTTTTTTTTTTTTTTTTTTCTTTATTATAGAGATTTTTAGCCATAGACTAGTTCATCTCTTTTATTTCGTAGGTAAAAAATTAGAACAAAATACCATTAAATTTCGGTAGAACGAACATTGTATTTGAAAAATATTCTACTGTTGTTGACGTTATTTTATTTAGTTATACAATACAAGAATAATAGCACAAGTAATCTACTAATGATTTTTAGTGTATATGCTTCTATTACACTACCGATGCACAGTGGTCCAGAATGCAGATTTAGGTGGAATGATATGTTTTGAGCCTGAAATCGAAACTTTAGACTGAAAGTCTCTTCTACAAAGTTGTTTCTTATAGTTAGGTCCTCATTTTTATGACAATGAATTCTAGGGTGGTTCCTATTATCATTAAAATAAAAATCTAACTTTTTTGTTTGAATAAACTAAGGTATACATTTTTCGACAAAGTTATAGCTGAGCTAATTTCAAGCAACTTTGTTGAAAATAACTTTTTTGTATCTCTTAAATTGGCCGATTTAGAGCTATTTTCTTAAATAGAGTTAGGGTGGCTCTTAAAAAAACAGTTATTTTGCTTTATAGTTTTCTTTTTTCGAATTTCTCAGCAAAGATGTCTTGAGATAACTTTTAGATCTTAAGAAGGCGCAATTTTTTGCTGCACAAAGATTGTCAATATCTTTCGCCGATCAAGAGTTATTGACGTTTTATATTCAAAATATGCACTTTTCAAATGTTAATATCTCTGGTTTTGGCAAACAAAAAAAAAAGTTTTTTTGCAGCATTTGAAAGGGCGTATGTTATTCTCAATAATATGAAAAAAATGGAGGTATGTTATTTTTTTTAACTCGTATAAAATCTATTTGAATTTATTCGTATTTTTTACTATACTTGAGTATATTTTTTGTGCTTTTATCATCATGTATCACAAAAAAAAAAAATAAAAAAATTACGTTTCGTATATTTTTTAGATATCTTACTTGATGAATCACAGTTTAACATTCTATTGAGATTTTGAGACCTAATTTCTGATGTAACATAAAGAAATAAACATTTGAAATACCGCATCCCTTTGCATTATCTACTTGCAGGGGTTATGGTTTGTTTACCATGGGGTGCATTTTACCCCAATGTTGTGGTTCGTTTTGGCCATTGTTGTCGTGCGTCTTGTCCCAATGTTGTGGTGCATATTGCATCATGAATCAGGCGTTTTGCCCCGATATCATTTTGGAAGCAATTTAAAAAATACCTAGAAAGTCATGGAAAATCATCCTTTTGTAGTTCTAAATCACTTGATCTTTGTAGAAAACATGGTAATGAACCAAACGCCATTACTTTCTTCTTGATTTTAGCTTCCATTCGCCAGCCATTGACGATTTTGCTTAAACGGTGCGTTTTGCACCATCCTACCCTACTCGATTCGACCTAGTATTTCATCGCGTAAAAAAATTTCCCGTACACAGGAAATTGCACATCCTTTCATACATCAACCGTTGGAACCAGGACGCACTGAAAATAGCATTTTGGAAGCCCCTAGTCCCTCTAACACGGTCCTGCCAGTACCAGCCAGCGTTCTTCACAGTCGTCCTGGTCCTGTTGTTAGTAGGGGTTCGGAGGTCTTCCAGCCTGCTATGCCAGGCAAGTACAATGATAACTCTGAACATTCACCGCCTGACGCCATTCCGAATTTCAGCACTGTATCGGTACTCTCTAACACTCGAAGTGCGGGTTGCACCACTGGATTCTCCGATGCAGCCCCACCTTCTGCTGCCTTTGATCATCGAAGCTGCCCTAATGCTGTTATCAGAAGTGAAATTAGGATGCCCAAATGTTCCCTCTCAGGCGACGTGTACACAGATCCTCAACGTGTTGCTAGTACTAACCAGGACGTCACTATTTACTATCAGAACGTAGGCGGGATGAACTCGAACGTTGAAGACTATCGTATATCCGTATCTGACCGATGCTTTAACATTATTGCTATCACAGAGACTTGGCTCGACTCCCGCACGATCTCCAATCAAGTGTTTGGATCTGAATACGAGGTTTTCCGTTGTGATCGTAACCCCCGCAACAGCCGAAAATCAACGGGAGGTGGTGTCCTCTTGGCTGTCGGTTCTGAATTGAAAGCCAGAGCAATCGAAAATGATCTGTGGAACAACGTAGAACAGGTCTGGGCAGCTGTGGACCTAGCGGATCGCACGTTGTTTGTATGTGTGATCTACATACCTCCAAACCGAGCTCGAGATATAGATTTCATCGACGCCCATTGTCGTTCAATTCAAGCTGTCTTGGAAAGCGCAACTGCTATTGACGAGGTTATTGTCTTGGGAGACTACAATTTACCTGGTATCTCGTGGCAACCATCCCATAGCGGTTTTCTGTATCCGGATCCAGAACGATCAGTGTTCCATTGTGGAGCCACTATGCTTCTTGATAGCTACAGTACGTCTACGTTATCGCAAATCAATCATGTAGTCACCGAGAACAACCGCAGCTTGGACCCTTGTTTCGTCAGTTCTCAGGATGTCGCTCCATTCATCTCCTGTGCACCCGCTCCACTAGTGAAACCAACTCCACATCACCTTCCTTTTATTGTGACTGTGGAGAGCAAGTTACTTCACGATTTCGACGAAACGCCCGTTGCTGTTTCCTACGATTTTCGAAAAGCAGATTACCGCAGCATCTCAGACTTGCTCTCCAGCTTGGACTGGGAAAACATCCTCGATCATCACGATGTTGAGGTCACCGCAAGAACGTTTTCACACATTTTGTTCCTTCTTGCTGGAAGTTTGCTCACATGTTTCCTGTTCACAAAAAAGGAAACAAACGAGATGTCAACAACTATCGTGGAATTACCTCACTGAGCACCGTATCGAAGCTTTTTGATCTAGTCATAATGGAACCGCTACTTTCTCACTGCAAGCATGTTTTGAGTGATCATCAGCATGGCTTCATGTCAGGTCGTTCCACCACCACCAATCTGCTATGCCTCACATCTTATGTAACTGATAGCATGGTTGACCGAGCTCAAACGGATATGATTTATACCGATCTGTCAGCAGCGTTCGATAAGCTAAACCATGCTATTGCTATTGCTAAACTAGACAGACTTGGGATCAATGGTAACCTATTACAATGGTTTCGATCGTACATATGTGAACGGTCGCCAACTGATGGTTGCCATAGGCGATTACCGATCTGATACTTATCCTGCTACATCGGGGATACCCCAGGGTAGCCACCTTGGACCTTTGATCTTCCTGCTCTACTGCAACGATGTGAATTATGTGCTTGACGGACCTCGACTATCGTATGCTGACGATCTAAAAATCTACCTTCGGATTCGTTCCATTGCCGACTGTCACTTTCTTCAACGCCAGCTTCATGCTTTTGCTGACTGGTGCACCTTGAACCGAATGGAAGTTAACCCGGCGAAATGCTCAGTAATCTCCTTTTCTCGGATAAAAGAACCAATCATCTTCAACTACAACCTATTGGGTTCAGCAATTGAACGAGTGAGCCACGTGAAGGATTTGGGAGTCATTTTGGATTCGCAACTCACATATAAGCAGCATATTTCGTATGTCGTTGATAAAGCTTCCAGAACACTAGGCTTTATCTTTAGAATAACCAAAAACTTTACTGATATTTATTGCCTGAAGTCAATGTACTCCTCACTGGTCCGATCTGTCCTTGAATATTGCTCAGCAGTTTGGAATCCAAGCTACAACAATGGTGTTGAAAGAGTCGAATCAGTCCAGCACCGATTCTTACGCTTCGCCCTTCGGCGATTGCCTTGGAGAGATCCTTTCCGTTTGCCTAGCTATGAAAGCCGATGTCAGCTGATTGGTTTGGAAACTCTTTCGACCCGAAGAGACGCTGCAAGGGCTTTACTTGTTGCCGATACATTGCAAGGGAGAATCGATTGTCCTACTATCCTCGAAAAAATCGATTTGAATGTACGACCACGTGCACTAAGAAACAGTCTTATGCTGAGACTTCCCTTTCGTCGCACGAACTACGGAATGAATGGAGCAATAAACGGACTGCAGCGAGTTTTCAACAGAGTTGCCTCAGTGTTCGATTTTCACGTACCACGTCAGACGCTTCGCCGTAGTTTCACCTCGATATTTTCGGGCACAGGTAACCGTGAATAGCAGTGTAATGTTTAAGTTTTAAGCACAGACAATGATGTTGTTTTTTGTATAAGGGTGATACGGTCAAAATTTGGTCAAGGGAAAACGCGTGTAAATCGGTGAAATCATTTATTTAAAAAATCAAATT